AGATAAGATTACCTCTTGAGATAATTATGAAAATTTTGATTTTATATCCTTAATACGTAAATAAAATAAAAATATAATCCCTAATCGAATCTAAATATTCCAAAAAAAATTCTCTCAGATTCTCATATAAAATCCCAATGAAACATCAATCTAGCCAGAACTAAGAATTTTTTATTATCCAAGAAATTGGGTGAGAGTGAATTTCCCATTCAAATAAATACGAAAAAGTTTGTCAAACTAGACCTTTCACTTGTTGTTCATTCACTTTCAATTGCTTTGAATCTTAGTTGCCATTTTTAACACGATGAAAAATTTCCAAGTGGGCCCTCCTGGTTGTCCGCTAACAGAGAAATTAATGACCGGGACCATGCTATCTTTTTCGATTGTTGAATTGTCAATGTGGGTGTAGATAAGGTGGTTTAATCACTGAATTATTTGCCAAAATTTCCAAATCAGTCATTTTCACTCAATGTAATAAGGCCAGCCTTAACCAATACTCGCACGTGTCACAGTGTGACATTGGGAAGTTTCATGTACATAACTAAAAATATTATGTAATGTCTAACTGTATGGTAATAGAGTTTCTTGAATGCACACAAACTTTTCAAAGGTAACATATAATTTATCCAATTATGTTGGTCTAACAAGGCAGTCTAGTTCTACTCTATCAAAGGTGTACCCAATACAATGGCTATTACTATTAATTATAGTATTTTATTAATATAATATCTGTTAAAAATTATTTTCAATTTTAGATAGAAAAATATTTTTATGAACATGTGATGAAGTATAACAAATCATATAGCAAATTTCAGAACTTAAACAAAAGAGCTCATAAACATACGATATCACTCATAGTATGGCCAATGTAGCAAAGATCTAGCAAAGTTCAAGGTTGACAGGAGAGAAGGCAACCATGTTAATGTCAAACACTTCCACAGAACCTCAAGCCACAATCCACGTATTAACACACTACACCAACATTTAAGAACCTTAGACAACTAGGCAATTTCCTTTAGAAAACCTTTATTTGAAACCTTAAATAGAACTCAACCACGCCGATTTATGAGTACAACATTAAGTGATATATAAGATTTTTGAGATTTACATTGCTGAACAATTTAGACTCGGATATTTTGGGCTAGTATTTTTGAATGATGAACGCCCTCCTATTATTTGCAGATGCAAGAGGAATGCCATAACAATAATCTGTTTTAGAAGTCAAATTTATTCTTTATCAAGGACAAAGAAGGTGAAATTAATAATACATAATGCTAGACGAAACAATTCTTTTCTCCCCCCTTATTTATATTTTTACTTTTGGCTACACAAGAGTATTGACATATAAATTATTTTGGGGGATAATGCATCTCTAAACATGTTCGATATGCTGATAAGATATAACAAGATAAATTTATTATATCTTATTCACATGTATCCCTTATTTGGTGAATGTAAAGGAAGTTGGATAAAAAATTTACACAATCCTTTGTTTGGCTGTGAGTTGCTTTGCCTATTGTTTGAGTGTGAAAAGCGATTTGGCCAGCTTTGACCTCCTATTTCACCATCTTGATAAGAGAGAGAGAGAGAGAGAGAGCCTAGCTATACCACTAGTCTCTCTCATGCTCTCAACTGCACATCTCTCTCTTGATCACTGATTGCTTGCTATTTTGCCACTGTTAGAGCACAAAGAGAGATTTGGCTAGCTATGACCTGTTGTTTCATTGTTCGGCTGACTTGCCTCAAGGACATTTTAGTAATTAGAATTTTTATCCAGCATTTTTATCATTTTTGAAGTGTAACCTTGCCAGACAAAGAATAAAAATAAGAATATTGTATGGGTAAAATAAATTTATCAAAAAGTTACCCTTATCTAGTTTATTTTCTTTTGACTTGTTTTCAATTGATTTGATTTTTTACTTCTCTAGATGCTTTCTCCACAGTGGCATCCCTCCAGCAGTAGAACTTCCCATGTACTATTATCCAAAACATATAAATAAATAAGACTCTTTTATATTGATATTAATTTTTATACTTATCAAAATAATTTTTATTTCTTAAACTTATCTACTAAAATAAATTGGATTTTGGGAGTTCAGAAGTTAGTACAAAATGTTCCGTTGAACTGACTTTCAAAGAGAAATCAAAAGTTAGTTTTCCCCAATTGGTTCGACACATGGCAAAAAGAGGGAATGAGTCCAAAATATTTTTTATTTTTTAAATTTATATTTTCTTTTTTCTTTTGGGCAACCAAGCAAAAAATGTCTTTTTCTTGTTCTAGACAAAACCAAAAGTCACGATAATCCAAGACTATTCTTTCACAATGAAATGTCAAAAAACCAAGTACTCTAGAAGCCAAGCATCCAAAAACCTGAATTGTTCAACTTCAACTAGTTCTGGAAGTGATAATATATATTTATGTTTGCTTTTAAATTTTATAAATTCTTGATATTTGTTTCAATATTATAACTTGATTACATACATTTTAAAATGATTTTTGAAATCTGAACATGAAGAATTTTGGAAAAAATATTTTTGATAGTGTTTTGGAAAACTACCGAATTATTAGATTTTAAGTGCATCTTGAGACAAGCACTTTTGAACTTTTTCTTTTGATTTGTAATGTGTAATTATAGAATTGTATTTATGTTTTGAAAGTATGATCTTAATTATGAGAAAACATTTTTGTTTATTGAACGAAATTGCAACCTGACTTTGATATGTATAATGCACATATCGGTACAGAACTTGACTGAACACTTCAGCTAGCGGTAACATTAGCTTGAGTGTACCTTGTTTTAGATTGCTTAGCTAGCAGGGGTTGCCACCGAGTATGTTTGGCCAACATGGTTAGTTTTGGACTCAATTAACAGGGTATGTTTTTAGCTTCTTATATGGGTGCACGGTTGTTTTGATACAGTTCTAGATCGAGGCTTCCACTACAATTTTGATATATGACTTTGAAACACATGTTAGCTAATATTTGAACATGATTTGAAACATATTTTTGATGAAATATGTCTTAAAAAACATTTTCCATTTATATATTTTGGTTTAAAACAATATTATATTTATGTATGAAATTGTATAAACGTTCATAAAAAATACTCTTATGTTTGATCTTGTCCGGTTCTTATCATAGACATATATTTTTATTTACTAGGTCGTAAAACTCGTGCCTCACTTTTGTTTTTTAAATTACAAGGTCCAGCTAGCTTAACCAGTCAGGTTGCTAGAGAAGAGACTTCCGATTATCCATTGTTAGTGTTATCCATTTCATTTACTCCAATACTACAAGGTGCTTCGAGTTATTTTACATACTGTCTTTAGTGGATCTTTGTGTGAATATTTCTTTCTTATTTTATTGCTTACTTTTTTGTTCTTTTCCTATGCATTAAAATTGAGGGAAGTACAGTTTCAGTAGTGAAATCGTAAATTATATACATTAGATACACAACAAATAAAGAAAGTCATGACATTGTTGTAGATATTTAAAACTAATCCTATTACTATTTAGATAGATCTCATGTGTCACAACAGTGGTTCATCTTCTGGTATAGCAATTCCAGCTTTGCGATAGTCGTAATTCACAATATTTTGATTCAGTCAAGGACCGAGATAGAGCACGAGCAGCACAAAAGAACCATATTAGAGATTCTCCAAGAAAGGAAGTTGTATGCAAAGTTTATTAAGTGTTGTTTTTGGTTGGATCATTTTGTATTTTTGGGCCATGTCGCATCGGTAAGAGGAACGTCGGTGGATCCTGGAAAAGTGGCATAATAATGAAATGGGATAGGCTGACCATAACAACAGACATGCGAAGCTCTCTGAGTCTTACCAGACATTATGGGACATCCATTGAAGGACTTTTTAAGATCACTAGACCTTTGACGAATCTAATGTAGAAGAATGTGAAATTTCATTAGACAGAAAAATGTGAAAACTGCTTGGAGGAGCTACAACTCACCTTAACTCCTATGAAATTTCATGAGTCAGAGGGTTTTGCAGTTTATGCATGTGCTTCAAAGAATGAGCTAAGTTGTGTCGTGAAGCAAAACAATAAGATCATCACTGACAATCTATTTTCTTAAAAGTTTTTTAATATCCAAATTTATGATTTCTAATAAAAACAATTCTAAAAGCATTTTATAGCAATTAAATTCAGGACTATTTTAAAACCCAATTTTAAAGTTTTAAATCCTAAAAACTTTAAATTTTTATGAGCCCAAAAGTCCAAGACTTTTGGGTGTAGAACACAAAAATTTATTGAAATACTCAATTCTATGTGCGTGGGTTTATTCTTTTATTTTTTTTCCTTTCTTTTTGAGGATTTGGAATTCTGCATAATTTTGTTTGATGTGTACTTATATATCCTTTTATTTTAATTAATAGCAACCAAGTAAATTACAATAATCTAGTCATCTCTATGGGGCAGGAAAAAATAATAACGGCTATTTATGTATGTCGAAAAATATCACTAATTCTTCACCTATTTTCATATGATACATGATAATAGTATTTAGAGAAAGTTTTGATATTTGAAAGTCATATAAACAAAGATAATGCAGTATGATACATGATAATAGTATTTAGAGAAAGTTTTGATATTTGAAAGTCATATAAACAAAGATAATGCAGTAGATTGTTTTAGGAGTTCATTTTAAAAAAACTTTTTTAAAAGTTCAATGGAGAAGTGAAGAACAAATCTATCTGGATCAAGCCCAACCTATCTCAACCCAGTTTGTTTCATAATGGGTTGGCTTGAGATGGCTCAGATAGTTTTAGGCAACAAGGTTTTGGTGGACACAATTCAATCACTATTCCTATGGGTGAGTATCAGTACTGTCATTTTTATTTTTATTTTTTGCATCATAAAAATAGGAAATACTTGAAAATTATTATAATAAATTTAAAATATTGGATTAAATAATAGGAATAAGAAGAGTCCATCAAACACATATCAATACTTAGTGAATGAGAAGTTCTTACATATATTTAACCTACGAAATTAGATTCTCTTCAATTTCATCCACAAAAGTCCTGAGATTTACGTTAGAAGATCCACCATCCTTTACAGCTTCCCCCGCCAAATCCTTCCATTTCTTGGCGTTGATCCTAATTTTTTCACCAATCTCACCATCTCCCATAACCAATTCTATGCACCTCTTGATTTCTTCTCCTTCAACTAGGCCGTCTTCATTCGGTGTTGCCCTCACCCCGGACTTAAACGTATCTTCTATGAGCTTTGCATTTGTAGGTTGGTCTGCGAATTGTGGTATGCCCACCGCAGGGACGCCTGAAACCAAACTCTCCAAGGTAGAATTCCAACCACAATGAGTCACGAAGCAACCTAAAGAAGGGTGTGAAAGAACCACCACTTGGGAACACCACGGCACTATCAGACCTTGCTTTTCTAATTCATCTCTGTTACTTAGTTTGTCTTCTTGGTTTTCGCCTAAGTCTAGGGCTCTTATCACCCACAAGAATGGTCGATGGCTCTCCATAAGCCCACGAGCAATCTCCTCCATTTGTTGCTTTGACAACGTAATAACGCTTCCAAATGATAAGTATGCAACAGATGATTGAGGCTTGGAATCCAACCACTCCATATAATCCATTGACTTCTGTGTAAGGTTGCCTCCAAAGCTAGTATTAGGGGGACCCCTTCCATCCATGGATGTTGATGGAACCAATGGTCCTATAGAAAGCAAGTTGTACTTCCCAATGGCCCTTAAGGCCTCTGTTTCTAATGCATCGTAGGTGTTTACAAGCACAATTGGCTTGGCTGCTTCATCGAGTGCATCTAACTGCTCCTTGACATCTGCTACTAAGAAACCAAATGCATTTGAAGGGAGTAAAAAAGTGGGAAGGTCACGACAAGTGATCGTCGGGAGGCCCGGCAACTGAATAGAGCATGAGGGGTCACTGCAAATCTTTCTAATGGCGTCACCGTAGTCATTAAAATAATGAAAGTACATGTTAAAAACAGAGGCTGGTTGAATCCACAAGGCAGCGGATGGTACGTTGAAGCCACGCGCCACTTCAGCTGCCCAACTTAGACCCATGGTATAGACAAGAACTGTTACTGGGTAGCCTTCCTCTGTGCTGGTGGTGAATAGATGAGACAGGGCTTTGGAGCTACGATTCTTGAACTCAGACCTGAAACGGGCCAGATCATCACTCAATTTGACACCATCATCGTAGCCATCAGAGAAGGATAGGATGGTTAAGCCTTGTGGTATAGAATGGGATTTGGCTATGTGACCGTGAGCAGAGACGCTGGTAAGAAAGGTCACCTTCACTCCCAACTTCACCAGGTTCTTGGCAAGTTGGAGTGAAGGGTTCCTAGAGCCTAGGGCTGAATATGTTAGGAGGGCAACGTGACGATGCACCATGGCTGCTGCTCGAGAGAAGAACAAAATATGGATGTCCTATTGGAAGAAATAGCAGGTGATGGAGATCTATATAGGGAAAACTGTGAACAATGATGTGTAATATATTCGTGTGATCAGTTAAATGCACAAGTTCAATCTTATCTTATGGGAATAATTTTGTTGACCGTGACATGTCTGGCTGACTTTAAAACCAATTTGGGAAAATATTTCTTATTAATTTCAACAACTTGCATTGTTTTATTTTGGCCAATGGACCTAACTTTGAGATATTTTATTATATCTTCATCTACAAATCAAAAGAAATTTTGATTAATTTAAAGGTTCCAATGAATGTCGGCATCCAATTACAACACTATTACGGTATTCAAATGAAACCACAATATTGAACTCGAAGGGTGTGTGAAGATTAGTGGTCATCTAACCAGCAACTGATTTTTTATTTCATTAAATTCGGAACAAGTTAAAATAGGGTTGTCCCATTTTTAGTGATCATAACATGCAAGTGGAGAAACTATTACTATTTTAGTTAGTAATCTTCCTATTATATTCGAACAATGGCATTGCTATGTGTGTGTGTGTGAGAGAGAGAGAGAGAGAGAGAGAGATGCTTTGGATGTATTGTTGTAGGCTTGATAAAATTATTGATTTGCGACACAGTCCTTACCTTTGGTCATTTCTGACTCTCACTCTCTCCCCAAACCCCCCCCCCCCCCCCCCGGGCCTGCAGAGATATCAATTTTACCCATACTTGGTGGTTATCCACGAAAATTTATTTAAGCGGGACTAAACATAGATAATACAAAATAGAAATAGTGGCAGCTTTGAAAATTTTTATAGATCCTTTTATATATATATATATAGAGAGAGAGAGGAGAGGGAGAGAGAGAGAGAAGAATAGGTATTGTAGTATCTAACCCATACCCATACCTTTATAATATATTATATATTAAAAACATATTAAATTTATCAAATTTTACTATACAACCTCTCTTATTATTGATTTTTGAAGGAGAGCTTTCTTGTAATACTTTGCTTTTGTTATTTGCTTCTTGTTCATGTTACAAATCGTAGCAATTTGTTTTAATATCATATAGAGATATAAAAAAATAAATTATATTCAAATGAATATACAGATATGAGAATGGAAACAAGAGTTTTAATATCATATAGATTTATAAAAAAATAAATTATATTCAAATGAGTATACAGATATGAGAACAGAAACAAGAATGGGAATAAGGAAGGAGATGGGGACTATCTAACAGGGGTGTTCAACAAACTGAATCAAACTGATTAGACCGCATAAATCGAACCAAATCGTATAAAATCAAACCAAATTGTATAGTGTGGTTTGGTTTGAATTTTATATTTAGACTAACCGTATAAACCGAACTAAACCGTATAATTTATATATATACAAAACTAAGAATCCTATCTTTATATATATAGTATATTTTTATTGTTTGATTGTATATTTCTTATTTTTATTATTTTTTATATTTATATTCATTCTAATAATTGATTATTTTTCTTTTTCAGAGTGTAATTTCTATTCGTAATAGTAAAATTATGTAAAATAGTATAAATATATTTATTATAAAATGTATAACTACTACAGTTAATTAATAAATAATGAATTTATTAAGTTAAACATGTTAAAAAAAATGAATGACCAATTTTTAGAAAAACTCTGTTAAAATTTTTATGAAAATAATGAATTTAATTCATTTTATTTTGTAAATCACAAACCATGGTTTGAAACTGAACGAAACCGTAAACTGTGGTTCAGTTTGGTTTTAAAAAATTGTAAACCGTAAAATATGGTTTAGTTTAAATTTGAATATCAAACCGAACCATGAACACCCCTACTATCTAATGGGCTTATGAATTGGGATTAGAATTAACCTTTGGCTGAGTACAAGAATAGGTATAAAGATGAGTTCAAGACTGGATAAGAGGATAGGTATAATGGTACCCGCCCCGTACCAGCCTTGTTGTCATTCTTATTGGCTAAGGACAACGCTTATACACACATCGTCATAGGTCCTTTTTCTTGTACTCAAAGAAATCTATAATAATCATATGTTCCAAGTTCTTGTAATCCCTATTTTGGATCACTTTGAAATAAATAGAGAAAGACAAATAAAATGTGAAGAAAGTAATTTAAGTATACAAAAAATTCTAATATAATTATATATAGGAATCCAGAGGACAAAATTAATTTTAAAAAAAAAAACTTGCTCCAATTTCCTCTAATGCTTTGTTTAAGAGGGAGTATGAATAGGAGAAAGGGGATGAAAATAAGAGCATGGCTTAAGGAAGTAGAAATTGGCTGTGGGGCTCACTCGAAGGAATAAATATTGTTGGATTAAATTTTAATGACAAAATTGTCATTTAAAAAGCCAGCCCACTCTTGGTAATACCCCAAATTTGGAGTTAATTAAGAAATTTAGAAATTTCAAGGATTTAATTAAAAGAAATAGAAAGTTTTGGGGCTTATTTAAAAAAATAAGAGACAATTGAATTAATTTAAACTTACTGGGCTCGAATGGAAATAATCAGAAAATGTCAAGGGTGGAATTGCAAGGAATGGGGATCGAATTGCAAAATCCCAAAACTAGGATCCTATCCATCATCCCATTTCCTTTCATGTAAACCCTAATCACACAATCAGATCAAATTACATAGATTTGCATAATTTAATCCCTAATTGAACATACAATCATGTCGATATAAAACCTTAAAATGAAAGCCCTAACCCAATTTCACCATTCTACCTCTGGTTTTGTGAAAAATTGCTTAAAAACAGTCGCCATTACCCCTATCTTCTTTTTTGTCACTGCAACCCTCACCACCATCCCTTGGCTCAATTTTGTTTCAGTCGACAAAGCCAAGTAGCTATGATTATCTTCTCCAATCTTTACTGTTGACTTAGTTGACTAGAACGCTAACTTTGTTACAAGCCTCAATTGATGACAGTAGCATAGAAGAGTGTAATCCAACCAAATACAAATAGGGTAAGGGAGATGGTTGGATCCGGTTTTGATTCCTTAGATCCAAGTTTGTGTTTAATGTATGGGTTATGGGTTTCAACTTGGGCCTTGGACCATTGGACCAAGCTTTGACTGAATTGGGTTTTGGGCCTTGTAACAAGGTTTGGGCTTGGGTTGAGTTGGGTTTTAGATTGAGTCAATTGGTACCAAGTTTTGGTTGTAGTATTAGATCCGATTTCTAAATTCGAAATTCTAAACCGATTCAATGAATCATCAACTAGTTTAGGGGTTGTTAACAACTGGTTCAGGGATTAGTCAACCGATTAATGGCCTTAAATGATTGGTTCATTATTTTATTTCTTGATTAAATACTTTGATTGATCGATTCATGACCTAGTAAAGACAGTTCAGTGCTAAATCAATTGGGTAAGTGCTTGTTGGGCTAATTCAATATATACATATGCATGGGTTTAGTATTTATAAGGCTGGTTCACTGCTTAACAAGGCCCCACCTCTCTCTCTATTAAAAAAAAAAAAAAAGCCTTCCCCTTTTCATAATAATAAGGTAAGCATCCAACTCTCAAATCAATGCTTTTTTGGTTGGTTCAGTGGGTATTAGCCTTAGTTCAATGTTCTAATAGTTTGTTCGAGGCTTTGTCATACTGGTTCATAGATTAATTAGCCCAATTTAGAACATTAAAGGGCCAGTTTAGCATTGTAATGGCAAGTTTATGGTTGGTTCAGCACTATAATTACCGATTCATGGCCAATTCAGAACTTTAGTAGATAGTTTATGACCAATTTAGCGCACTAGTGACTAGTTCATGACCAGTTCAATACTTTAATAGACAGTTTAGATGTTAAACAAATTGATTTTATACTTTATGAGACCGGTTCAAAACTTGAATATTCGATTCACAACTTGACTTGATTGGTTCAGAATTCTAATGACTTTGATAAGGGTTTAGGCACAAAAATTGAGGCTTTTACTCAAATTTTAATTGAAAATTATATAGATTAGATCCATGAATACATTGGAATACTAAAATAGATATTTTTATTATTTTTGTGATTTTAAATTCTCCAGAAGATTCACTTTAAACCGTATCTTCAAAGACCAAACTGTTTGACTCTATTGGTTCTATAAGTAATAATACGCATTTATGAGTATTTATAGTTTTTCACTTCTATTACAAATCTTAGTTTTACCCGACTTGTTACTTGACACACTTGGTTCTTAAAAAACTGAATTAAACTTTAACATATATGCCTAAGAAGGGGCATATATGTAATTAACTAAATTTATTTTGAAAAAATGTAATATATTGTTTTTTTAACACTGTTTACACCTCTAATTGAAAATCTTTATTTCTTGTTGGGACTATTTTTGATTGTTACTGAAAACTATTTTAAAGGAGTTTGGATTTATAGAACATCATAGGTAACAATAGTAGGCATTAGACTGCGTGTACCTTGAACTGTATCCCTATTCAGTGGGGATGGTGCTTTATTATCATGTTAGGCTAACATAATTATACTGTATATCTGTGTACCAATAGATTTAGGAATTGTCGAAACTTCTGATCTCTGTACTATTTATATTCTAGATTATAAACTCTTTAATATCTCAATAATTGTAAATTTACTGTTTTACTTTAAAGTTTTCTGTTATATATATTGTATACTTATCCCTTATATTCATAGATGCACGTTACTATTTATTGAGTCTATCAACTTACCGCTTATCATTTTTTAGATTCGGAGTTTGATATATTTTCAGATCCTCCTATTTGAGAGGAGTCACTGTTTCTACTATGTCTCTTACTATCCCTAGATGTTAGTATGTTTTTTCTTTTTCTTTTTCTATTAAACTTTTGAAATTTTCATAGATAAACTCTATTGACTACAGATAAGTTTTTTACTAATATGTTTATGAGTTATTGAGATTTAAACTATATTTTATTTCAAATTTTTATTTAATATGAAGTGCTTGTTAAGCTATTTTTT